CAGGAGAACTCAGCCTGCGATGAATATTCACATCAGTCTATTGGGCGTGATGCTCTGTAGTTTAGCAGATATCAGCGTTTCGGAGGAAACCCCTACCTCCACTTCTAGTCGCAAAGTAAAATTAGAACGATTAAGTCAAGGAGGATGAGATGGGCATGACATGTAGAATGCACAGGGCGAATATGATTGCATAAAGGATTTTCTTGGGAAAGCCAGAATGAAAGAAACCATTAGGAAGGCCTAGATGCAATTTGGAGGATAATATTAAGATGGATCTTAGAGATGTAGGATGGGGTGGTATGGACTGGATTGATCTGGAATAGGATAGGGACCAGTGAAGGGTTCTCGTGAACACGGTAATGAATCTTCGGGTTTCATAACATTTTGGGAAATTCTTGAACATCTGCATAGCTGGCGGGCTTCACAAGAAGGGTTCAGCTCCATGGAGTTATTACTTTTTTTTAATTGGTAGTGGGGTGGAACTAAGTCCCTTGTACTGCGGCCACTTGTGGCCTATTGTACCAGCCCCAGATGATAGGTGAGGGTGATTGTGGAGCAATTGGTGGAATGAAGATTGGTAGGGGAAACCGAAGTACTCGGAGAAAACCTGCCACAGCGCCACTTTGTCCACCACAAATTCCACTTGACCAGACCTGGGATCGAACCCGGGCCGCCGCGGTGGAAAGCCAGCGACTAACCGCTTGAGCTATGGCGCGGCCTTCTATGGGGATGGCTTCAGTAAAAAAAAAAAAAGTCAGTAATCCACAGTTAACTGTGTTGGGGCCGGAACAATCATTACGAGAACCGATACAGAAATTACACTAAACATATACGTGTATACAGGGGGAATGTGGAACGGAGATGTGTTTCTCCGCAACATCCAACTTCTAACAGACTTCACGGCACAAATCCCTGGAGACTGTCCTCTGCAAAAGCCATCTCCGACTTCGTTCCTTTACGAAATATCTCTACAATTATTGTGTTTTTGGACATTAGCCATCGTTCTGTTTTTATTTAAGACACAACTGTTCGGAGACTGAATTCTGTCTCCGTCTTCAGGTGGAATGTACTCCGTTGGGCCCAGTCGATAAAGGTAGTCCCTGTCTCAGGAGACTGGATTCTGTCTCCGTCTTCAGGTGAAACCTAATCAGTTGGGCACAATGGATAGAGCTAGTCTCTATCTCCGGATCTTCAAAACATATTGATTCGGAGACTCAACTCTGTCTCCGTCTTCAGGTAAAACCTTCTCAGTTGGCCCCAGTCGATAAAGCTAATTGCTGTCTCCGTCTTCAGGTGGAACCTACTCAGTTGGGGGCAAAATCGATAGGGCTAGTCCCTGTCTCCGTCTTCAGGTGGAACCTACTCAGTTGGGGCAAATCGATAGGGCTAGTCCCTGTCTCCGGAGGCTGGATTCTGTCTCCGTCTTCAGGTGGAACCTACTCAGTTGGGCCCCATCGATAGAGCTAGTCAATATCTCCGGAGACAATCAAGTCTCCGAGTAGTTGTATGTCTTAAATAGAAACAGGACGAAGGATAATGTCCAGTAACACAAAAATTATATTAACATACCATCGTCACAAATTTTAGATCTTATGAAATACTTAGTTTAATGATTCAAAATGGATTAGTTAAAATTATGTTGATCTTATATAAATTTCTCGGTATTCCTAATAAATCCAGCTCCAGTTACCTAGTCTACATCCCCATTACACCTGTCTCCCTTCCCTGGTCTCATAAATAAGCTGCTCTACTCAGAAGCAGAGCCTTTCGAATGGAAATGTTGGGAACCTTGCACTCAGCATCAATCTTAAGCGGCTTTGCAAATAATCTCCAAGTAGCAATTTTGAATACATTCCGTATTACGACACGCGATGCTGGTGTTTCTGAAATGGGATCGTTGATGTTAATGGCGTTGGAGGTAGTAACACAAACTAACTACTTCGAGTACATCCCTTCTTGAGAAGCTAACAGTCGCTTAGCAACTAAACAATTCTCCAGTTTCGTGCACGGAAGCAAACTATTCATTACTAGGCCAGTTATGAGTTACAGAGGTGATTAGGAACAGCTATCTGCCGGCCCATGACGCCGTGTACAAAATTACTAGCAGAGAATTATACATAAATATTAGTAAATCACTGTTACCATAACACATCCGTGAGTTCGTGTGCTCATTTTTCAAGGTCTTTAGTTCAGAAATTAACAGTGATAATAAAATGTCCTTATGCTTAATTAATTAAGTATTATGCGAGGAAGAGGGGGCAGGCGGTAGCGTAGTTGGTTTAGGCACTATGCTACATACCGGGAGGTCGCGGGTTCGAGTCCCGATGAGGTGATATTTTTCAATTGACCTAATCCTTCCAACCACACTATGTCCCTGGGGTCGAATCATCCTCTAACAGAAATGAGTACCAGGAATCTTCCTGGGGGGTAAAGGGCGGTCGGTGCGTAAGGCTGACAACCCTGCCGCCATCTGTTAGCCGACTGTACAGAAAATATGGGAGCCTCGACGTCTCACACCCCTATGGGCCTCCACGGCCTGTTATAAGGGTAGCACGACAGGAAGAGGTATGGGCGAATGGAAGTAGAGCCCATGAATAAACTTCGGAATACCTTCTAAAATAAAATAAATAGCGAGTTTGGGTTGAATTGAGTGTTATTAGGAGGTTACTCTGCAGGTCGCTGGTATGCCATTTGGAGAAGTTACTCAACACTCGCGTGACAGTTCCGTAACGCCATCTGCATTCTCACTGTCTGTCACATTAATAGTTCAGCGCACTTCTGACAACAATAGCAGCGCTTCAGTGATTACAGAGTCTATATCTGTTCCTTGTGTTACTCTGAGTGATATTCTTGGATACAACATTGACACTTAGAGCGCACACACATATCAGTAAAGTCATTGCATGTACGGAGGGACAGGCTTCCTCAGAGCGATTTTATGGATAGACCCGTAACGTCAGAACATACATTTCACTGGCTATACGTGCAAATTTTCTTACTAAAATTATCTTACAAATTACAAAGGGTGTACTTCACAAAGGACCGCCTCTGTTCTCTAGTGATTACTGTTCCTGCCTAGAGAACCAGAGGTCCCGGGTTCGATACCCGGCGCTACCAGATTTTCTGAGACGTGGTGGGTCTGGAACGGGGTCCACTGAGCTTCGTGAGGATAACTGAGGTGCTATTTTAAGGAAATAAAGACTCCTGTCTCGAAAACCGAGATTAACGGCAGTGGTGATCCGTTGCGCCGACCACACAACACTCTCTATCAGCTGAAGTTGGCAATAACTTCGCCGACAAGCGGCGGTCGCTCGGTCGGTATTGTTCGCTTGCGGAGTACAGGTCACGGCGTTTGTTTTTGTGTACTTCACAAAGCAATGTTATATATTCCAAACATTTTTCTTTACAATTTCTTTAGATTAATGACAAGTGGTTTGGTGTAGTAGTAACGCTCCTTATCCTGCGCTTTTTCGTGGTTTTCCTCTGTTCCTCCATGGAAAAACCATGATAATACCTCAACCACGCCACCATGTCTCTCTTCGGGGCAATTTCCAACTCTTTATCCGCCTCATCCCACAACCCGACATTCCCAGCTACTGACAACCTTGTGGAATAACACAGAACACTAAGCTTAACGAAGTGTTGCACATGAAAGTAATTAACAGACGGGAGAAATGAGAAATTCGGACACACATTTGGTAAAAAGACATAAGGGAAAGAGACAAACTGGAAGACCTACGATTAGATGGGAGAATAATCGTATTGTAGCGTGTATAGTCGTTGCTATGCAACGACAGCGAGATGGGCGGATACAGCAGGGCCATTTCTGGGCAACGGCTCTGTAAACACGATGACCTTGCTAGGCAGCAGATTCTTAATAATGCGACAGTTGGACTATAGCAATGGAAACGGGGTGTTCCTGCGTGTACTCACCAGTGGATGCAGCCTCCTTCCTGTCCGTGTGTCTGTGTGTCCCCCTTATTAACTTCTGAATTCCTGAACCAATGTTCATTAAACTTGGTATGTATATAATGACACTTGAGTCCCGCCTATCAGTTTTCGTGTCTGTACGTGTATCACACCTATCGTTGCTAGGCAACGGCTCGGTAAAAAACGTTACCGCGACAACAAATACACATGCACGGTCGCTCGGTCGGTGTAGTCTGCTTGCGTACTACAGGCCACGGAGTTTGTTTTGTTTATATAACTTCTGGGTTACCGGCAGCGTCTTTAAATACACTAAAAGATCAAGCTGTGGGCGCGCCTTGCCCTTAAGACTTATGAGGGAGCGGAGATATAGCTCCATGAATTCCTAATGTCAGCACTAGGTGGGGGTGAGTGATCAGTTTCACACCACGGCCACTTCACAGGGAACCCTCCCCGGGTACCCATTAGGTGGGATGTTGAGTAAGGAGAAAGGAGAAATCTTTTTACCTTGCCGGGAATCGAACACAAGATTTATGTTTATCAAAGCAAGCCATAATTATACGTATACAATGAATTGCCGGTTCTAACCACGGTATCTGCGAAAAATACGATCCTCTGGGGCAAAATGTTTAATCAGACAGAAGCCAACTGATGTTTTGTAGGAGCACAGTACCTCCATCTTCAAAGTCGAAGAGTAAGCCAGACAAGAATCCAGCAAGAATAAGGCTACAAGCGCTATGTTTCTCCGGGATTCCTAACAGATTACACGGCGTCACATCCAAGAAGACGGCATTCTTCAAGAATTATCTCTGTTCAATATGACACACTATATAGACTCATGCAACACAAGTATGGAATGAAGGCCATGGGAAACTGCATATCACTTGCATTCGTTGTTCTCACTTTCAAAATAACATCATAATCTATATCACATCACATCATGTAAAACACAGGAGCTTACGAAATCTATCTACGAATCCAATTAAGTTTCATAAAAAAATATTATTAACACGTAATAAAAACTTATTTAGTTAGCGGGCAAGAGAGGGCCAGAGATCACGTGATTCACTTACCTGGCCAAGCCGTGGCAGATCGACGCCGTCCGTCGAGCGGCGTCTCAGAGCTAACAGCATCTCGTGAGGCGACGCTCACTGCTTTTACCTTCAATGATATGCGCGCACTTGTCGACGTCCCCTCCGTGACCATGCGCTGTGACGGTCCAGGCTCCTAGAGTGGGTACACAGTGGAGCGATAGAGAGACTGGTTCCCGCGCACAGCTGAACAAGATCTTAGAACGGCGCATCGCTTTCTGCGCATTCCTAAGACAATAGTTATTTATAAGTGTGCTATTATCTTGGATGTAACGCCATGCAGTCCGGTAAATATCGTATCGGATGGATCTACTGCTTCTACTATGAGGGAGAGCCAGTAAATAGGTCAAAAATTGCCACAAATCGTAAAACATGTGATATTCGAACCTGGGAAAAAATTTCCCGACATATCCTCCACCAAGTGTGATATACATGTCCTATCGCTTTACCAGTGCGTCGAAACACGCAGTATAAAAGTCTTCTGAACTGTTGTCTCAATCACTTCCTCACTTCGTTTAAACCTCTTCATCAGCGAAATCTTTGCCACCCAGTTGAGAACCGCTTTAAGCGACAAACACTTCCCACGTTAAACAGGAAACATTTCATTATAAATATTACTTACATTTGGACTTTGCCTACAAAATACGTACAATAGAACGTGGTACACTCCTCAATCACATTCGCCGTTTTGACTACTGAAACCACATTTGAAAATGCGCATGCGCATCTGCTACCTAAACTGCCATGAAGCTAGACTGTGCTGCTACCTAGTGATACAAATGGGAAATATTATTACATCTATTACAGCAGTTTGCTTCCATTTGTGACATATTTACTGATTTTTCCTCGTATCTTCAGGGTCGAAGATTAAGTCAAGGGCGAAACTATTTCGAAAATACCGGAAAAGCTCTAGTCTCGTGTGTTTTCTTGACAGAAGTTATTTCTGATGCTTCAAAATCGGCTGCCAATGCTCTGTTACTAAGTAAAATAAATATAGGACTACATCGTGTTTTTGATTTGACAGGTTCGAATCTCGATAGGACAGTATTCTTGGCAACGTTCAACATGGTTTTCCTCAGTTCCTCTAGAAAATATCAGGATCATACCTTAAATTTGGACACATCTTCTTCCTCCCACACATCAATTCATTATTCATCAAATAATTCGACTCCGGATGGCCCGAGTTCATTACAACTTCATCAGATAAACTATAAACTATTATTGCTTTTCGACGAGGAGGAGCTAATAGTTCTCAGAGCAATTATGCACATCTACTGTAGAATATATCGGGTGATTCTAAATTATTGTCAGGGCTTCCGTTTATATTCCATGGAAAGCCCGACAATTTAGAATCACCCTGTACATTGAAATGGCGATGTCTTAATAACATTTTGTAAATGTATTCTGCATTTTAACCCAAGGAAAAAATAAATAACAGTAAAGTAGAGTTTGTTATATGTTAAAGATATGATAATTTATGTAGTATGCCGTTGGAAGTAATTCTTGGGAGCCTATCTTATTGCGGAGAGATCACAGGAGACAAAGATTAGAATGTAAGCAAGCCATAAAGACAAGGAACTTTGTACATGCAGACAATAGTTCAGAGAAACCAACTTGTAAGGAGGCTATGTAAGGGGGAAAAAAATCCTTGAGGTTTCGTATAAAGAGCTTCATAAATTGAATAAGCAGAGGAGATAAAAACTTGCGCCTGAGAAGACTAAATCTTAGAAGAAGAGCAGGGAAGAATAAAAGTAGGAAAGTCAGAAGCCACAACTTCAAACCACTATGAAGTCCTCTTGCCATTTCGTGCTCAATCACCTTGGAATGCCGACCCTCCGAAACTCGACACAATTCTCCAACGCTGATCTCTAATCTAATCTACCTCAGAGTCAAAGTTACATTGCGACTGACGGTCAGTCAATCAGTAAGTCTTGGTGTCGAGTCCCATCTGGGGCTCGTGACCAGATATTTATTGCTGTTTGACAGCTACGGTCTTGTTTTTGTGGGGCGCCCTCTCTGATGAGAGCACGGGTCTGTCTTTTGTATATACTTCTGGCCCTCGCCAGCGTAGTCTTCCTAGGGTCGGAGACTTCCATTTGCTCTAATCTAGCTACAAACAGATTCTCATTATATATATGCGGCACGGACTACATAGAAAACACCTTCTATTAGGGATGCGTGTTTACAGCTCTGCTGCCTAGCACTGGGCATGAGGAGGACCACATAGAAAACAACTCATCTGTTGTCAGAATTATTGTGCTACCTAGCAACACGTTGTAGCATGGTCCACATAGAACACAGGTCCAACTGTTGCGTGTTCCCTGAAACTTGTATACTGAGTCGCTGCCTAGCAGTGGGTCGATACGTCACCCTATCCTGAAGAACAATGTGTATATATTTTCATACAATTTCTCTAGTACTCATTTCTAGCCTTACACGTTACCGAACGATACATCGAGGATTTTTAACGCCATTTCCCAGCGCTTCGAAACCGACGGTGGTTAAGAGTCCACTGCTAAAACTGAGTCAGATTGTACCGATATTACAGATGATTATGGAACTGTACTAATTCCATATTTTTCTATGTTATTTGTATATGTCATGTAAACGGTAAAAGGTAAAGCTATCCGTGTAACAAGCCGTGGACGCACATAGGGTTGTGAGATGTCGAGGCTCCCACATTTTCTAGACAATCGGCTCAAAGATGGCGGTAAGGTTGTCAGCCTTACGCGACAAGCTATCCCTGTAACAGGCCGTGGACGCACATAGGGTTCTGGGACCTTAAGGCTCCCAAATTCTCTAGACAATCGGCTAGGAGACGGAGCGTAATCAACACATTTTACTTAGTATGTAATAAAAACGCTTGGTAGAGTTTTCTTCGGCAAGAGTCTGCACCCATTGCAACGAGTTGAGAAATTTTGAGTAAATTTTCCAGCAAGGTTTTCCGAGTTAAAAAGAAAAGGACTAGAAACATCCGCATTTCTTTTTTGACAAGAGTAAACGCCTATTTTGAAGAGGCGAAGAAATTTTCGTAAAATTTTTTGCCGCATGCAGCCCTCGGGCCTTGAATTGGACACCCTTGACTAGAATACATTACATTTAAAAATGTGAGAAGCAGTTAAGAACACTCCTCCCTCATAGTGGGCTATAAGTGGGAGTGGATTGTTAGAATGTATCATGGAAAAGGATAGGGATCCACAATAATTTCTATTAAAGTATCCCACGATATTCACATTTAATTTCAAAGCACTGTGTGGATCGCTTGAGTACAGTGCCCACAAAGCGGATTACGGTGCTGCGAAGGAGTCAGAATTCACATTTTTTCCTCTCCACAATATATATATATATATATGTAAATTTATAGGAGCCGGGAAAGAATTAAATTCTATCCAACTGTAGCCACATGATTTAAATACAGAGCGTAACATTTATCAGGGTGCGAGATTTCAGGTGTTCTCAGCGGTAACTGAACTATGTTTGAAGAAATTACTTTACAGTACGTTATTATCAAGCCGATCACAACAACCGGCCGCGCGGTCTAAGTCATGAACTGTCTTCGTCCGCTCGAACACGGGGATCTGGGTTAGAATCCCAATCGAGACATGGATTTTAGTGTGCGTTTGTTTTGTGTGTAGGTAGCGGCCTTGCGACGGGCTGATCCCCCGTCCAAGGAGTCCTCCCGACAGTGTAAAACAAACTGAAAAGCGGCTAAGGCAGCAGTTGTCCTGCTTATAACATATCGTAACGGACCACACAGAAAACACCGTTCCTGTTGCTGTATCCACTGTTGATTTCGCGTCTGTTTTGATGCCCATGTGATCGCTATTCAACCACTGCCTAGCAACGCCTGTTATTTACAGAGTCATTATTTATCAATGGCGTATCTCGCTATCGTTGCGTAGCAATGGGTGTACATCCTACAATATTATTAAAAATAATACGTATAAGCTCCATGAATTGTTTGAAAATGGAAAAGAAAATGCTAAATTCGCACTTTTCAACTCTGTCCCTGTCCTAAGACGATGAATGGACCACGCGTTACATATGCGCGCATATGAATCCAGTTATATATAGAAGGCTAGGCAATAAGAAATATACGCCGCTGACAGTGACATATAGCGAACCTACGGCAAAGAGATATCTTCCTGCAAAAAAAAGTCATGACGTTACTGAGTATCCTACAAGACACAGAGAGAGAATAAAAACACGGCACCTTAGATGCGTAAATCCTAGGAATCCACTGCGATGTTGTCCCAAAGTTGAGGCATAGTTCGTCCCAGTACGACGGAAGTCCAGCGCACAGGATTTCCTCCCCTTACGAAGCACGACCGTAAAATTCACGATGCGGATGAGAAACTTACGGAATATTAAAAAAAAATTTGGATAAATTCCGTAACTTTAAGAAACACAAAATTCCAGACAACAAATTCACCGAGTATGCTCGTTTAAGTACTTTTGACTTGTATTTAGGTGGTGTGTGGCTCAACTCGACCACCTCTGTGGTCTAGTGGTCAGAGTTCCTGGTTACAGATTTAGAGTTCCCGGGTTCGATTCCCGGCGCTACCAGACATTCTGAGAAGTAGTGGGTCTGGAACGGGGTCTACTCAGCCTCGTGAGGATAACTGAGGAGCTCTAGAAAACCGAAATTAAAGGCCGTGGGGATCCGTTGCGCTGACCACGTGACACCCTCTATCCGCTAAAGTTGGTATTAACTTCGCCGACAAGCGGCGGTCGCTCGGTCGGTATAGCTCGCTTGCGGACTACAGGCTACGGATCACAAACATTACTACATTTTCCTCTTTTTCTTCTCTTCTTCCTGTTCCTTCATCTTATTATTCTTAACCCTCTCTTCTCTCATCATGTTCTCTCTTCACCCGCTTTCTTCAGCGCGTGGCCCTCACACTTGTGCTATCTCGCAGTGAAGCCGTTTTCATTCATACATTCATCAGTCACTCTACAGCCCTTCGTCTGACCGCTTTTTCAGTCGGTAGGACTCTTTGGATGGGGGATCAGTAGGTTGCAATGTCGCTACCTACACACAGCACATCACAAACACAGACATCCATGTCTCGAGCAAGATTCGAACCCACGACCCCAGCGTTCGAACGAGTAAAGAGTTCATCCATTAGATCGCGT